TCTGAATTCAGTTCGCGCGGTGACTCTGACAAGGAGCGACCGATTAGCGTTCTGTATTTGCTGTCTAAAGGAAGTCTGCCCTAGGACATCATTAAGTCCAATGAAGGCCCAAGTCTAACGATTTGCTAGTAAGCGTCGTCCATTATCGTACGTGAGGCGGGCCTGAGGCGATGTGTAAACTGTACGGATCGCATTTAGTTCCGTAAGAGTAGGCCGTTTGCCCTGTGGCGATAATGTTGTGCTTGCTTTAGACAGCAAAACTCTTTAGCCACATCGATTTAGGGTTTAGAAGTGCAATGGACTAGACATTTCTAGCTGCTGTTGGCGTCATTTGCTCTGAACTTTGATCTGTTAAAATCTGGATGTGCCATTCCGCGCTCGACAAAATTGAAGTACATCCGGGACATTGCTTTTTGCGAGCAAAACATGGCCACGAGGGGAGAGAAGAACATGAGTTCAAGGGCTTATCGTGAGTAGAATTTCCTTTTTTTATCAATTTTAGGCGTTCTCGGCTTAGCTAACTATCAGAACTGTCTGTGATTCGCTAGCGCGGAAGAAATTTTTTTGCGTGGCTTCCGGGCGATAATTAACGTAACGACAACATGTTGAGTGTTCGCTTACTGCTAACTATGGCCTAGTTTGTTTGAAGTTCAATCGATTCTCGATGTAGGAAGCTCTTGTTCAGTCCATTTAGGACGATGCAGGCCTTCAGAAAGCGATAGATTAGCTCTCCGCCGCAGTTTTGATATCTGTACGTTCATGTTGATCTAGACTCCAATTTCATGTTGAAAGCACTTTTAATTAAATTGTACAATTCATGATTCAACGAAAAGACGGTAAATTTAGTCTTCCTGGCCTCAAAAGGCATACAGGAGAGTTATTTGCTGTTATTTGAGCTACTATAAGCCTAAAATTGTATTTTATTTCTATTTTTTTTTAAATTTTTATTTATTTATTCATTTTTACACTCTGCACTCCGCGTTTTCGGAACGGCCATAAAGTTATGTCGTTTCTCTCGTAAGCAAAACTATGCGCAGTTCGTGATACTCCTTAATCCTTAAAAGGCATTTATTTGTAAATAAATCGATCAATTAATAACTAATTAATTAATAAACCAATCCATGTGAACATTGTGCAAGGAATATCTCGGAAGAAAAGTCAACAACGCGTCAGGGGTTAATTAGTGCCGAAATTTTGCCTTTGTAGGCAACCCCCTTAACTCCCCCAGAGTAATAACCTAGCTTGAGCCTACGATCCAGCCTTACCTGGACAGCGGCCAACAAAAAACGCGACCTCGATGAAATCTTAAACTGAGCCCGCAATATGGTCTCGTGATATTGGTCAGCAGATGCCTTGTCCAATATCAAAGATGTAGCTATGTTTATGGTACTACTCTCTTTTATTTTTCACGTTATAGGGCTCGGCCCGCGCACGCGCAGTGCAAGTGTCGTACAAACGTACGTACAGAAATGTGGGGCACTTGTGTCGAACTTAATTCAGAATTAATACTGTCGGGTATGTAGAGTATTCAATATGGCGGACCGAGATTCTGAGTGACGAAGGACTTAAATTTTGCGAAAAATTATCCGCCAATGGAACGAGAACGAGAAGGCTGACAATGCAGCTGTTTGTTTTGCAATATGTTCAGGTTTCATCGAGAGAATGGTCAAGTTTCTTCTTTCTCTTTGGCGGGACCAAATTTACGCATGCTCAATACATTTTAAACATAATGTATTAATTAGATTTGACGGCAGAAATTCGACGTTTGAATCGGTGTCGCACTTCGGTCGGATAATGCGACAAGACCAGTCGAACGTGGGGCAGAAATGCGGCAGCTGATTCAGACGTCGAATTTCTGTCGAATTTAATTCGTTGAATTGAATTCGACACGGCAGAAATACGACGTAAGAACCGAGCTAAGGTATGGGACTCCGCGCGCGCGCTTTCGCCGCGCAGGAGCTCCGCTACAATCACTTTTTTTCAGTTTTGTCAATTTTGTATGGCTCTTAACAAAAAAAAAAAAAGAACATTAGGTTTTACTTTTCATTGGATGAATGTGTTTTCAACACAATAGCCTTCTCGTTGTGACACAATTTTATACAGTCGAACCTCTCCGCAACGGCCACCTTAAGAACAGAAGAAATCGCCGTTGGTGGCCGTCATGTCGAGGCAGTGTTTTTCCCTCCGGGGGTCCCAACATTATGATTTTTACAAAATGATTTGCTTATTAAAGCATATAAGTACATTAAACGATCCAAATATATCAGAAACCAAACGCAAACAAAGACCAATGACGCGCAGTACCGATCAAGTTTCGTAACCTTTTATTTAAAAAAAGATGGAGTTTTGTACACACCGTTCATTAGTCATTAACTGGTCTTTATCGAGTGGTTTTTAGCAGGTGAGACGCGGCTTGGTCGCTGTTGCCGTTTTGGAGAGGTGACCGTGATAGAAAGGTCAAAAAGAGTAAATATATAGACCGTCCGCCGGGAGAAAAAAGTATGGCCGTTGCAGAGACGTGATAGTTAGTGGAGCTTCCACTGTGTAACCTTGCAAGTCTTTAAAGCTGTGCACGGTAGTAGGTAAATGTAAATGAAAAGCCTCAAAATTGATGGTTCTTCGCCACAAGTTAATGGTACTTCGTGGGGATCGCGGTAAGGTCTATTCTATTTACTCAGTGGGGTGGGTCTGTTAGTGGTAGCAGGGTTTTGTAACATGCTTCTAACAATGTCATAAGCATGTGTGTCGGCTAAGTATAACTAGAAAAAAAACAAGAAAGAATAGTGTTGCCTTTGGGTGCGTTTAATGAATCACACCCAGTTCTACCTCGTTTATGCAAGTGTATGCAGATCTCAAGCCACAGATACAGCTAAGCTTAATTTTCTTGGAGTTTTTGTATCCGAAAAATATCAGCTTATTTTTGTGTTTTACAGTTTATTGACACTGGCCACTAAAATGGTTTCCTACAATTTTGCGACATAAGCAAGTTTTAAGTAATAAATTTTCTTTGAGCGAAAAAGTCAGCAGTATTTTTCATAAGTTTGCAAAAAATCGGAAAACATTCAATTAATCTCGATGCCTGGTTCTCACTGCTTTGCCTCCCTTGTCGCTTAGGAGAGAGAACCTGGTTACTGTTGGTCACCTGACCACCCAGAATCTGGGTGATAAAGAAATCTATTTTGGGTGGGAAGGATGGCAGAGTGTTTAGTTCGTTCTCATGACAATCTTGTACGTTTCAAATCCTTGAACAACGGCTACAAACTACTGGTTTTAATTTACTGGGGTTCGAAGTCGCGTTTGCCAACGAAGACTGCGACATTATCTTTGGCATCTTCAAAGAATAGAAGACTTTGTAGAACAAACGTTTCAACAAGTGTATATGAAATAATTCATATTTGAACTGCGGTTGTAGATGAAAGTGAAGAATAATCATCGTTCTAAATTTCCAGTTTAAGCAATTGGAAACAAGAAGCCTGAAAAAAGAAAATCAGGGCTTCAACGGGATTCGAACCCGTGACCTCCGCGATACCGGTGCGATGCTCCACCGACTGAGCTAGGAAGCATTGGGATGCGAGGTCAATTAATTTTTCACTCTTCACGGGAAGATATGAACTCAACTAATTTACCTCGTTCCCAGTGTGTGGCTTCCTAGCTCATTTGGTAGAGCATCGCACCGGTATCGCGAAGGTCACGGGTTCGAATCCCGTTGAAGCCCTGATTTTCTTTTTTCAGGCTTCTTTCCAATTACTTAAATTGGAGGTTTACTGCGATGATCATTCTTTACTTTAAACGTTTCAACAGTTAGCACATGGAAAACGTCACTTACCGAATTTGGCTCTACATTGGCTCTGGTGCGCGTAAATGAGTTAAATTAAGCCGGTTGTAAATGACGAACTTTACACTAAGCGAACTGGAAAAAGAAAAAAAAAAGTACTTCATATGGAGTCTGCTAATTCACGGTGAAAAAGAAATATGTTGATCAGACTCACAGAATATTGCCTATTGTTACATAAATCACACTAATTTGGGTATTACTGAAACAGATATCACGATTCACTCCCAGCCGTTTCATTTTAAAGAACAACAACAACAACAACTTTATAAATCTTTTACTCATACACTTCATAAACAACCTACGTCTTTCGCATTACTATATCAATTTACAAGCAGGTGCTCCGGCCGGCTGCCTGAAACAGCCATAAGAACAATAAACACTGGAAAACCACATTCAAAAGCACACAATGCACTGTACCTACAAACTTTAAAGAATGTAACAGATGACTACACACACCATATACAATACATCGTGACGTGCATCATACATTAACTAACAGAAATTACTTGCTTACTGAGGTACTAAACCTCCTTGTTTCATTATCTTTCAGGGTGTAAAGAGAAAAATTACGGATAAGTGGCGGCAATGGCACAGTAAAGAAAGTTCATGTAAATTCTCACCCTCCGATTATTTGTTAACCCAACTCAGTGGTTACGTCAAGGCGTGCATCCGACTAACGTGGCGAATGGTTACCCAGGCTCCACCCATGCAACTTGAGTACCAGTCCTCCACATTAAAGGATATTCACATAAATCGTGGATATCACAGCAGTCCAGAAATGTGTACACGTCTCCCTACAAATGAAGGACAAGCCTCAGACGAGAAGCAGGAGATTGCCTGTTACCTATGGCCTGCCTTGCTAGATGGAGGAGGAAAACTTATTCGTGCAGGGGAAGTTCTTTGTAAGGTGAAGGAGGAGATTACAATGATCTAGAAACTGCTAGTTGTTTAGGCATGGCTGTCATCCATGGCCCGAATGCAAAAAACCTACAAGGCAATGTTTTTGACATGAAGAAGGTTTCTAGTTTGTCTGTTTGCTTTAATTTCTTTTTGAGCGAAACGCTGTGCGGTATTGGAATAGATCATTTTCGTATTCTCGGTATTGGACTTGAACTAGCTTGCAATGGAAGCTCGTGCGGGGGAATATCATTAAAAAGAAAAAAAGTGCACCTAACCCCAAAAGTTTTTTTCGCTAAAGGAATCTACTCTTTATTTAATGCATTTGGGCGAAAAAAAATTTGAATTTAGTTGAATTCTCGATTTTCTATGCCCTTTCTAAGTCGCGCTTGAAGTGTTGAGTGACCGCGTTTTAGGGAGGCGGTTGCTGATGACGTCTACCCAGGAACCAAACACAATGGCGCCTCAGTCAGCTCTCTGTATTTGCTCGAGAAAATGAAAAACAAAACTAATCGTTCCAATATATTTTGGGACTAAAACGTCCAACTTTTGTTTCAGAATCATTTCTTTTTCGTCACTGGAGCCAGAGTTAAGTTTCGATTCGGAATACTCCGAAATAAACTTCGATCGAGCACGTTCGACGACTGTGAACTCACTTCTTAGAGTTTTGAGAGCAATTTACAATATTTCAAGCGACGAAGGGGAAGACTTCTTTGCGGACGAGATGCTTGTATATTAGGAATGGAAAGCTAGATACGAAGTGGAGGAGTAGGCAAACGAAAAGCATGAAAGAAAACTCAAGGATTGCTTTTGATGGTAATTTCGTCACCTAAAGCATAAGATTCCCACACGTGTCTCTAGCCGTTTACATTTGTCCTTAGCGAGAATATATTTTGTCAAGGTATGATTGTTCTATAAAATCCAGTTTGTGTTTTACTTTCTGTTGAATGCTTCATGTTTATAAGAACGATGTACATGTTGTAGTTTTCGAGACTTGATGACCTCTAAAACACTGGCTTCGATCGATTGAAAATCGTACTGTTTGGATCTGTGTTTTTGAAGCTGAGGGAAGCAGGGCGGAAGGAAACATTTCATACAATTACCGATTTGACACTGTCACACGTTTAAAGTCGTAACTCCAAATAACCAATGTAAATTGTTCTCAAAGTTTGCAGTGAAATTCGTCGGAAAAGCGAAAAGGATGTGTTACCTAAGCGGTCGGCAGATAATGTTACGCGGTCATATTTGCGACGCTATTGCACACAATCTTTGTCGCACTGCTGATTTCCAAACCTGCGAAAAACTCTGCGAGTCTAAAAATTTTGTTATCATGTTATTCTAAAGGATTAATCTTCGACTTTTATCTAAATCGAAAGAGAAAGAAGTGTTGGTTAGCGGCGTACAGTTGCGACCTATTTACATATCAGTACATCGGTCGTAACGCTTCTTTATCATGATTGATCACACAACTTTGCCGCTTATGTTATAAATACTGCGGGATTGGAAGATATGGGTTGTCGGTAGTATTTCTACAAATTGCTGGTTAGCTTTAAGCAGAACGTTTATGAAAATAGCGTTTGAAAGTCTGCGGAACAAATTCCAGTGAGAGTTCTTCAATGGTTCTCACAGACTCAGTTCGCTTGTTTCGGTTCGACAAAATNTTTTTTCAAAGTTTGCAGTGAAATTCGTCGGATAAGCGAAAAGGATGTGTTCCCTAAGCGGTCCGCAGATAATGTTACGCGGTCGTATTTTCGACACTAATGTATAGAATGTTTGTCGCACTGCTGATTTCCAAACCTTCGGAAAACTCTGTGAGTGTAACAGTTTTGTTGTTATGTAATTCTAAAGGATTAATTTTCGACTTTTATCTAGATCGAAAGAAAAATAAGTGCTGGTTGGCAGCGTACAGTTGCGACCTATTTACACATCAGTATATTTGGTCGTAACGCTTGTTGATTGATCACACAACTTGCCTTTATAAATAGTGCGGGACTGGAAGATATAGGTTGTCGGTAGTATTTCGACAAATTGCTGGTTGGCTTTAAGCAGAAAATTTAGAAAATAGCGTTTGAAAGTCTGCGGAACAAATTCCAGTGAGAGTTCTTCAATGGTTCTCACAGACTCAGTTCGCTTGTTTCGGTTCGACAAAATCAACCATCGTTTATGTCTTTATTGTACCATTGATCGATCATCGCCTGTAAATTGTACAGTATATCTTTTTTAGATCTGGGATATTGCTACAACAGCCGATAGCACTTCTGGAAGGCATTTCTGCGNTTTTTACACATCAGTATATTTGGTCGTAACGCTTCTTGACTGATCACACAACTTTGCCGGTTATTTTATAAATACTGCGGGACTGGAAGATATAGGTTGTCGGTAGTATTTCGACAAATTACTGGTTGGCTT